TGTGATCTTGTTTTAATTGATGGAGACGCGAGACAAGTTGCTGAAAATATGGAAAAAAAGAAAGAAAATGCAATATTCGATTACGATTCTGATGACACCGTTCTACTAAAAGCACAACGAGATTCTTTGAAGAGAAAAGAAGAAGAAAAACTAGATATACCACAGGATGATAATAAACATACACCTGCAAAAGTAAAGAGTAACCGAAAATCTAAACAGCAAGAAGAAATTCAGAAGAAAGCAAATGCAGTGAATGATTCAATAGATGCGGTTCAAGATCCAGAACATATTAATAAATGTACAGAAGAAACAGAAACTGGTGAAAGTATATATAGGAAAAAATCTGTAACAGAAGACACTTCATTTAACAAATTAAGAGGAAACGAAAGTTGGACAGCAATGACTCAAGAAAATTTGGACAAATCAACTATTGATTCACCACTTAAAGAAACTGAATTATATAAATACATGGCAACAAAACGGAAATCTAATAAATCTTTTAAAGATCTAGACAGTGAAATTGAAGAATGTAATGAATCTGAAGCTGTCAGGGGAAGTAAATCGTTAAATAAATCATCCGTAGATTCATCATTGAACAAAGGCAAATCATCTGAAGACATGTCGAAGAAACGAAAATCATTTAGTACACCCGTTGAGGAGGTAGATAGTGAAAATGAAGGATCTGATGAATCTGAAGCCATGAAGGGAAGGAAATCATTAAGTAAATCATCCGTAGATTCATCATTGAACAAAAGCAAATTATCTGAAGACATGTCGAAGAAACGAAAATCATTTAGTACACCCGCTGAGGAGGTAGATAGTGAAAGTGATGGATTTGATGAATCTGAAGCCATGGAGAGAAGGAAATCATTAAGTAAATCATGCATAGATTCATCATTGAAGAAAAGCAAATTATCTGAAGACATGTCAAAGAAACGAAAATCATTTAGCACAGCCGTTGAGGAGGTAGATAGTGAAAGTGAAGGATCTGATGAATCTGAAACCATGAAGGGAAGGAAATTTTGGAAGAAATCGCCTACTGAATCATCATTAAATTCAAGTGGCTCTGACAAATCAGATAAAAGTATAGATTCTGATATTGAAAGGGAATATAATCTTCATGGCAAAGAAGTTTCTAAATTTTCTGATGATGACGTACCGGGAGATGAATGTAGAGCATCAGAAACGGAATCCTCAGATCCTGATGATCATGGATCAGATCTTCAAGACTTTGTAGTTGATGATGACGATGTTTCTGAAGAGAACGAGGAGGAAGATCAGAGTAATAATGAAGTAGATAATGAGAATGATGTAAAAGATCAAGAAACTAATGAAGAATCCATAGATGATCAACTTGAAAAAGTGCAAATGAAAGAAAAAACCGATGGTATAGCAACTGAAGAAAACAAAGTACAAAATGAAATTGTGAAAGAAAATGTTGAAACAGTCTTGAATAAATCCTCAAATATCTGTAATAAAGAAGAAAATAAATTAAGACACTCTGGAAATTTAGATTTATCTCAAATATCTGAAGATGGTAAGAAAGTTGGGAAGATTTCTCAGATTTATCTGTCTGAGATAGATGAGGATGAAGAAAAATGTGATTTACTTAATGAATTTTTCTCGAGATCTCCTCAAATGAAAAATTCAAGACCTAAGATGCAAAAACTTAGCCGATCAATGGAATGCAGTACCCCTAAACTTAATTCACTTAAACGAGATCAATTTCATGTAAGTTTAGAAAGTACTATTCAAAAAGTGTCTGATAATACCTGTGAATTTGAAGGAGATATCTATTCAAGTACAGAAAGAGATAAAGCGACGATATTGAAATTGAAAACCAGTTTGAAAAAATCAAATAATACAAAAGATACAGAAAGTTTGTTGCATGGTTTTCCGGCCTTAATTAACGAACATGCTCAAAAAACAAATCTTTCAAGACCAATGTCTTCTAAAGTAATAGAATTAAATAGAACGACTTCAGTTCCATGGAGTGAATCACCTACTGTAAGACACTTAAGAAAAGAAAAATTGAACGAGAGTCTACCAGTATTGAAATTAAATAGTAACCTTAGAAAATCAATAAGTAACAGTAAAAGTAATGAACAATGTGACACATTAAGTCACAGTAAAGTGGAACATGTCAATGTTGAAGAATATTATGTCGAAGAAGAAACTACAAATGTTGAGCTAAATGTAAAACCAGCTCAAGAAATGAATGAGTCATTAAAAAACAAATTACTGAAAGTAGCTGAGAATATATTAGAAACTGATTGTCAAAAGAAAGAAAAGAAACGAAAAAAACGAAAGGTAAACAAAACTGTACCCACGTTTGACGAAGATGGTTTGGAAGAAAATGTAGATTCTCAAATATCAAGGGGGGACCAAGACCATGTCCCTAACACTAACAGTCATGAAAGTAAAAAGTCAACAGAAATTTGTTCAAATGAAAAAAAGAAGAAGAAACCGAACACAGAAGCTGATATTGAAAACCTTCTACAAAATAAATTACGTGTAAATGTTATTGAAGCAAAACCGAAATGTAATGAAGAAAAGAAGAAAAGGAAGCAGAAGAAAGATACAGTCAGTACTACAAATATAGACAACATTGCAGAAAATGAAGTATTTACAAAGAAAAAGTCTAAAAATAAAGTGCCTGTGCTATCTGAAGAAGATTTAGTTAAGAACCTAACTAAGAGTAAACGGAAGTTTAAAAATATTGTTTCACAAGATGAAGAAATTATGGGAAATGTGTCTCGAAAGAAGCAGAAGTTATCAGAAAATATTGTACAAATTGTAAATACTTCAAAAGACAAATCTTCCAAGAAAGAGCAAAAATTATTACCAAAAAATACTGTTTCACAAGATGAAAGTATTTTAGTTGAACAAGTGTCCAAGAAGAAACAAAAGAAACGAAAAGAACGAAAGGTAAAGAAAACTGTACCCACGTCTGACGAAGATGGTTTGGAAGGAAATGTAGATTCTCAAATATCAGGGGAGGACCAAGAACATGTCCGTAACACTAACAGTCCTGAAAGTAAAAAGTCAACAGAAATTTGTTCAAATGAGAAAAAGAAGAAGAAATCAAACACAGAGGCTGATATTGAAAACCCTCTACAAAATGAATTACGTGTAAATGTTATTGAAGCAAGACCAAAATTTAATGAAGAACAGAAGAAAGGGAAGCAGAACAAAAATTTAGTGGGTATGGCAAATATACACAGCATTACAGAAAATGAAGTATTGGCAAAGAAAAAGTCTAAAAATATAGTGTCTGTGCTACTTACAAATATAGACAACATTGCAGAAAATGAAGTATTTACAAAGAAAAAGTCTAAAAATAAAGTGTCTGTGCTATCTAAAGGAGATTTAGTTAAGAACCTAACTAAGAGTAAACGGAAGTTTAAAAATATTGTTTCACAAGATGAAGAAATTGGAGAAAATGTGTCCCAAAAGAAGCAGAAGTTATCAGAAAATATTGTTTCACAAACTGCAGATATTTCAAAAGAGAAATTATCCAAGAAAAAACGAAAACTATTACCAAAAAATACTGTTTTACAAGATGAATGTGTTTCAGTTGAACAAGTGTCCAAGAAGAAGAAAAAATCGTTGCCAGAATATATTTCAAAAACTCAAGGAAAATTTGTTAACACATCTAATAAAACCAAGCACACTATTAATACAGTATTGGACTCAGTTGATGAACCTGCACCTGTTATATTTTCTAAAACTGGAACCGCAACATTGAATATAGCGGAACGTGTTACTGGTAGCACTACTTCTAATAAGGACAGGAAAACGATGAAAGTAGTAGAAAAGGACATAAAAATTAAGACCCCAAAACAGAAATCTAAACATCAAACTTCGAAATCTAAACGGATAGAAGTATCAAGGAAAAGTATTAAATATCTACCCGAGGAACTTGTTGAGAACCTTGTGGACAGTTCTTTGGAAATATTGAAAAAAAGGAAAGTGTCAAAACCTGAGAAACAATTTGTACCTTCGTGTTCAATGTTTGATTCTAATTTTTCATTGAGTTCTTATGGAAGCACAACTAATTTTAGTGTCACAAATCTTCAGAAATTTAAAAAAACCAAAACTGCTAAAGAAGTGCAGTCATTTAGACAGAAAATGCTTATCAGAAATTCACGTCAACGTGTTTCAACTTACTTAATGTATCTAGAGAAGCAAAAAGCGTCGGGTAAAGGAAAGATTTAATAAATAACCGTAAAGGTCTAATTTATATATGTTTCATAATGGGAGTTTAGTACTAAGATTTAATTATGATAGTTCCTGCGATTTTTATATTTTAGTATGACAGTAGCAATTAGTTAATAATTATTATAAGCTAGTGAAAAGGAATATATAGCTTGACAATTTAAGTCATTAGTATGTACTAATATGTACTGATATCACTTTATATCCATAATCATAGGATGCAAGTATAGAATTTTATTCAAATCTGTGAATAACATTCTGCGACTACCCCGTAAAAATTGTTGAGCTATATGTTTGCTTTTTTACTTTAAAGCAGAGATGTCCAACTAATGCTCATTGTGGGTGTATTTACCTCCTGAGATTCCTACCCCCAGTATGGAGCTAAGACGGAAGGATGAGGACGCGGAACAGCCTATGTCCCATAGTGGAGGTACTTTACACACCCTTGTTGGTGAGCGCCAGTTAGGCATCTCTACTTTAAATTGTTGCTGTATGTTAGTGAGTTGATGCCAGATTGTTATTAACTCGTTTAATGTTTTACAATAGAAGACGACATTGAACTGTAAATAAAGAATTTTCTTACTATGAATTTGTTTCTTCATAGTATGCTAAAAGACTGTTCTTTTTATTTGTAGGTCCATTTTTTATAAATAAAATGTAAACATTAAATAGTATAATTCATTTTGCATCTCGCTATAAATACATTGTTTTCTTTGTTCCCAATTCTACGAGACAAACCTATTGTAAGAAAATTCTGTATAAACAAAGCACTATCAATATTTACAAATCCCAACTTTGCTATGGCTTTACAAATGATATGTAAATACTTAATATTGCAACGGAAATAAATCGTTTTTTATAAAAGTAATAATTAAAACTGATTTAAATAAAGTGTTCTTTATAATTTAATTTGCGTTTTCTGGATTTGTCATCTTTGTATAATACTACTAATATATACTGCACAAACCTTTACCAAATGTAGATTACACAGAGTAAAAAAAGTTTATTAACAAAACAATACATTTGTACATTTTTAGCAAATTATTATCGAAATAAGAACGTAACAATTGTTTTCTAGGTTTTTGCATTTTGTTCTATAATTTCTACTAATATTATTAGACTCATAATTCTTCAATGATTTCCTCTAAAGTATAATGTACAAACAATAGATTCACATCGGGCAATTTTCAGACATTTCTCCCTTTAAATTCAAGAAACAGGCACCATTTTATGCATTATTTTCTCCCATGAATATGATACATGCTAATCCAGTTACTGCCATATGTTCCCATAGTTTGCGTGTCCATTTATTCATCGTGTAAAGTGTGGCCAAAGCGTTAACTCTTCGCTGATGGGTTCCGCCATTTATAGGAGAACTTTCGATTTCCTTCTTATGCATATGTATGTATATGCATACGTATACAATCATAAAGTGGGTAATAGCCAGTCCAATTAAACTCAAGATCCCCATTTTAAAAAATAACTTTAAGTAGCTATGTTTTTACATGAAAATGTTCGGAAAGTCATTAGAAATGAAATGTATACGTTTGAGACTGATGAAAACTTGGGGAACATTGTTAAAAGAATTCGAAAAGATTTGAGAAACACGTTTTTCGCTTGCAGAAAGAAATGTAAAGATTTTAGAGAAAAAGAGGTCAAATAGAAAATGTAGGTATTAGAAATACCTACAAAGTGAGATATAGTACGTTAAAATCGGTCCACATGTCAAGTTACAAAAGAATTAAAACTGTCGAAATAGGCTGTTTTTTCAGTTGTTTAATACTCGAAGGGATTAGACCACAGAGGTTTGAAATTTGAAGAGAATATGGTCTTCATTACGGTTAAGTGTGCCAAATTTCAGCATTAATTATTTATTCGCTTTTACAAAAAGTCATTTTTTTATCCGAAAAGTATCTTCGAAAAAGTTAATTTCTACATCTTTGGCAAGTCGAACAGCAACCAGAGCCTCTGGTCCAGAGGGTGTATTTTTTACAGCTGGAGAGTGTACCACCGACTAGATATAGAATAGACCTATTATCCAATGCTTTTTTCTGTCCCACCTTCATAGGACTACGTAACCCTGTACCATTTTAGTGTCAATACCCGACGTTATCGATAAAGCATGAATTCTGAGTATTATTAGCACAAATGAAGTGTTGTATATTCCATTCATATTGCGTGTATCTTTATGTTTTGACGGGAATAAAAATATCCGATGCTTCCGTTTAATTTTAAGGGATAAATATGACAGTCATGAAACATGAAACAGAAAAGTATATATTTTTTCACTTAACTACAAGACAATTTATTCTAAATGCATCGCTAATGGATATTTTACTAATGTTACTTTTTACACGTTCTTGTTTTATTCGTTTTTATATCTTGCCTTAGATTTGTATATTTGTAACAGATAAATTCAGAATAGATGTAGTTTCATAAATAGTTTATCAAATCTACATGTGGGAGAATATATACACCGCTTTTATTAACATTTACATATTTATAATTTATA